TTTTAACCTTTTTTTCCTGAATTGATCATGACCTGGTGAGAATCTTCATCATATTTCAAGTGTCAGTGTTTACATCTGCAAATTGTTCTGTCCTGCACTTTATTTAAAGCATAATACATGTGGTCAAAACTTAAATGGTTACTAATATTTTGTTGGACAACCTTCAGCTTTGACTTATAACACAGAGGTACGTGAAGTAAAACAGAAAGAGGAGAGGAAGGTAGGAGGAAGAAGAGGTTGAGCAGGAGGTTAGAATTCATCACTAAACACTTAATTTATCAAGTAAACTCCCACAGACTGCCTTCTGCTCTCTACCGTGCAGGGGAGTGAAAGGTGGAGGTTGCAGATGGGGGGAGGAAAGGGGGAGGAGGGAAGCTGCAGAATGTACCAGACAGGCTCCAAAGAGGTCCGACTGTAGATAGAAACAGTCAACTGGGCCACCCATGTGTGTCACATGACGTTTGAAGGAATGAAGCAGGAGCGAGGGATGATACAGGAATGGTGATCTTTACGCACCATGTGCAGAGCGACAAAAGCCTTTCGGAGGACATCAGCCAGTGCCGTAACAGGTGCCAGTCCTCCGGTGAGAAGGCATGCGGACTGGGCCAGTGACTCTGAAAGAAACACGTTGTGGGATTTGTTACACCTTGCAAATAAAAACTGGTGAACTTTGGAAATATAAATGAATCAGGAAGTCTGATGCAACTATTAAAGACTGATCGATTTATACACAACAAAGTGCAAACACAAGTCGGGTGAGGAAGGCAGACGATGGAAAATGTTTGTGTATCAATCAGTTGTTTTAAAAGTGAAACAGAATGGGACTTTTTGCAAACGAGTCGCAGATATTTCTGAACCGAGTTTCTATGAAGTAGTGAGCATCTTACCTGGAACAGACACCAGTCAGAGTGTTTTCAGTTTAATCATGGAGTGAAGCTAAAAACTACCGAGACGAATAATAAAGCAGATTTCAGTTTAAAAGAAAAACTAAACCAAAAAAATAATAAGTTATTGGCTTATTCATAACCACTTCACAAAACTCCACTTCTAAACCCCTGAATGATCCTTTCAGTTCTCTCAGGCACCACACAAACACGATTACTTTAATCCATATTTGTTGTGTAAAACATGTGTCTAAATACTATAGATGTACAAAATGATCCATATCTACTGAAAAATGCTTTAAAATGAAACGGTGGCACCAACAAGCAGATGAGGTCAACGCTGTTCTGACTGTGTTGAATTTTGAGGCCGACACATTGTCCAGTTTTAAGACTGGGCTTGTCTTTCCTTTTGGATGCTTCTTTAGATAAATAACTTTGACTAATCGTCTTCTATAAAGTCTGTGAATGTTTCTGTCCAGTGCCCTGATACAACAGATGCTGGGACTTGGAGCTACAGAAATAAACTGAACTGAAATAATTTCTCAAGTGTGGCTAATCTGGGACAATCTAACTTTTGTAAAGTATTATAAAGTTCACAAATTTGATTTTTTTTAAAAAGCTAAATATTAAATACATATGACACTTTTACAATCATTTTACATAATTGTTATGTAATATTTCTGAAATATATTGTGAATTTTAAGGTCCTTATATGTAACATTTGTATTTTGCAAAAGGAAAGATAACACGTTTCTTCTTATATTCCTTGATAATTTTCTAGGAACCACAGTAAAGTTAACACTTGGATAAATACAGACCATAAATTCCAGTCAGTTTAGTTCTGGGTGAACTTTTCCAAGCAGCTATAAAGACGGCAGTAACTCAGTATTTTAATGTAAGAAAATATATTTAACAACAAATGTGTCTCAAGTGTTCTGAGCACAAATGTTCAGCGGATTTAAATCTTTGTACCAACAACAAAAAGAACCGTTATGTGTGTGTTCTTCAACATGTGTAAAATAATGACAACCAACAGAAATACATTTAAAAGAGACAAACTCATGGGACAAATCCAGTGATTTTGATCAGAATGAACAACGTATTTCCAGCCTCAAAAAGAGCAAAATAAACGTTAATACGTAGTTGAGCTGTTGATGAATAAATGAAGTGAAAGCGCTGCCAGAGGGAGGTGGATGATGAAGGTGATGATGTAACAGCTGGAGCACAGATAAGACAGACCAGCACTCAGTTCAGCTGATTTATAAAACTCCAAGTCACAACAGGACTGAACAGAAACATTCAAATATAAAATAATAATTGAACATTATTTATCTGAGGAGCAGCTTTGAGTTTAACTCTCATGTTGAACAAGCATGAAGGCGACAGTGGAAAGAAAAACTCCCTCGTGAGGAAGAAACCTTTAGCAGAACCAGGATCAGGACCAGTGGTCTTTAAACGTTAGCAGACTAAATCACAACAGCTAAAGAAGCCCATCAGCTCATCTCAGACATGTAAAATGTCTCAGACCTCCTCTGTGGACGTCTCGCCTGAACGACCGTCGCTGAGAAAACAAGTCACAAATATCTACACACACGGACATAAACCGTGCACATGGAGGGCGTCCGTGTATGCGAGTGCAGGAAAATGCAAACATAAAATCAGCAGTTACTCAAAGTGACAGATGTGAGAACTTCCTTCCACATCTTTTCTAACAATCACACAATGAATTCATTCACTCGGAGGCTCTGGGAATGATCGCGGTGCACCTTATGTCATCCTTAAACAGGCACTTGTTGGTCCAGGTGCTGGCGGGGTGAAATATAAGGCTGTGTTTATTTCCACTGCTCTGATTGTGATGGTTTCCCTTGTCCTGACTTGCTCTCCACAGCATTCAGTGAACTGCTCATACCCACCCTGTTCATAGCAGGACGAACAATGCAAGAAAGAATGTCTTGCCATTTTAGATGAATGCCACCTATTCACTCCAAACTCCACCAAGAGACAAAACACTGTCGCCCTGCTTATTGGTGAGCATGTACCCTGTCTGAGAGGACCGAGTGTAAACAACGGTTCATGCACACATGTCCAGATACATACTTTGAAATGTAACGAGATGGAGAGCAAATAATTTACCTTTGATAATAGACTCTGCTGCAGCCAAATCCCGTTTGTAGGTCACCTGAGGAGCAAAGAACAGTCCACTCAAAAGAAAACGACCTTTATTGTGCAGCGTTTCAGTTTTATGTTGATTTTTTATTGTCATTTTAAACCAAAAGAAGAGTGAACAGAAATGAGTTTGAGCTGTGAGCTACATGAGTTCACTCTTCATTACAATGAGAAGTTAAAGGATCATCTAAATCAGAGCGTCTTGGTTATTCAAAGTATGTTCTACTTACTATGTTCACATATCAAAAACATAGACACAACATAGACACAACATAGACACAACATAGACACAACATAGACACAACATAGACACAACATAACATAACATAACATAACATACATACATACATACATACATACATACATACATCCATTATCTTTACACACTTCTTCCTTTTCGAGTACGGGGGTCACTGATGCCCATATCCAGCAGTCTCTGTGCGAGAGGCAGGGGACACCAGGACATGTCTCCAGTCCATCACAGGGACACCTGGACATGTCTCCAGT